GAAAGTTTCAATGAAAGTCTGAATTCAGAAGTGAGATTTCATTGAGTTACAAGGATGGCACTCCAAGTAGAAGAAAAACTTATCAGGAATTTTCTTTTATAAATTAGCCCTGAGGGGCCCTCCCTGGTGGTGCAATGGGTTAAAGCACAGCACTACAAAGTTAGCTGCCACCCCTTCACGAGTTCGATCCCCAGTCAGGGAGGTGACAAACATGTCGAAGCAGACCTCTCCTGACCATCGCTGTCCCCCTTAGCAGTGTACTTCATCGATCTGCCTGTTCCGCCCCCCGCTCTGTCTCTGGTGAATCTTCTCACCACCCCTGCACTTCTAGCCTGTGCAGTTCTGGCCCAGTTCTGTATGCATAAATAAATAAATCTTTAAAAGTAAATATATAAGTAAATAAGCCCTGAAAATGAGAACAGAGAACTGAGGTCAAGGAAAGACTCTTTGTTATCAGAAGGACCAGAGGAAATTCTGGGCCATTTTGTGACTGGGAGTTTTGGGAGGGGAGGGAGGAGTTGCCAGCGTCCTGGCATTTAGAGTCTGAAATAGCTACTTTTGTAGAAAGGTCAGTCGTAATCTCAGGTGGACACTGATTTTTCTCTGTCAATGGGTGAAATGTTATGGAGTGGGAAGTAAAGACAATAGCTTGTCAACAGGAGACCATCTATAATCTGTGGTGGAAATACATATTGGCTCCCAAGTCCCTTATAGAGACTCTTGCTTCTTTCCTCTTTATCTTGTCAGAATTACTGAACCTTAGGAAACAGACTCCCTTCTGTTTTCTCCCTCCATCACCCCCTGAAACCTGCCTTCTGCCATGCTCACTTTAAGGAAATTGCTCTTTCAAAGGTCACCAGTGAAGTTTTTATTGCTAAATCCAGCATTCTTTCTACTTAGATCACTCTCATACACTTGCTGCCACTGGACACTGCCTCCTGCAAACCAACACTAACTTGGTTTCCATGACACCGTCCTCTGGCTTTCTCTCTGCCAAGCATTCATCTTGTCTCCCTCCCTAGCTCTTCTTTTACCTCCAATCCCGCAAACACAAATGGCCCCCAACCAGGGCTGGTTTCCCTGAACTTCTCCTCTTCCCTCCACCACGGGAGGAGATCATCTGTTCTGTCTCATCCCACTTGAGTGTAGATTCCATTGAAACCCACATTTCTAATCCCAAGTAGCATGTACATATTTCAAACCCTCCCTTGGCCTTTTCTGTGTAGGTCACACTATCACTTCAAATTTAGCATTTTAGGAACTAAACTTATCACCCATCTTCCACCGCCTCCAAATGAACTTCTTCTCAACTTCTCAACTGTATGCACCAGTAGTGCATTTTTCCAAATCAAAGGCAATCAGTAATTTGAAGGAAAATTTAATTCAGCTCCATACTTTATATTTGTAATAAGTCATCTCTGCTCTTTGTTTCCTTTACCCTCAGCACCTGCCTTTAATTCCATGCAACTGCATATCAGGGGGATGATCAGTCACTCCTTATGTCTCCACTGCCTCTTTCCATCTATTACAAATCAGTGCACCTAAATTTCCTTATAGCTAACAAAACACATGGCAAATAATTCTTTATTGGCACCCAAAGTTCATTTGCCCCCTTGTTCTCTTTCAGTCTCTGCCCCTCCAGTCTTTCCCAATATTGCTATGACTTTATCTACCACCAACACCCCGGGACTGGGAGGCCTATTTCAAGTATTCTTCAGTTCCTCAGGTCATCTTCAGCCAGTCTCTTACTGCTGCCTTTCCCAGCTCTGGGGCTGTAGTACACCCTCGCTCCAACACTGTGATGCCCTCCTACCCTCCCAGAAGACAAATGTCACTGCCTGCCAACCAGCACAGCCAGAAAGACTGCCTGAGGCAGCTGGTGGTGCTGCTTCTGCCAACAGACCATCATCTTCCTCCTCCCCTTCACCTTCCAGAGCCACCCAGACAGGAATCACCTCTTGCCTGAATGTTCATGGGCAGGAAGCCCCCCAGGAGCCTCTCAGCATTGTGGGGTTTGCCTTGAGAACACCAGCTAGCTCTGAAGATTAGGCACTCTTTCCATAATCCAACATCGGACCCTTTCTGTAATAGAAAGATCCTTGGCTTCTACTTTGATGACTCCTGAAACTCTGATTGTTCTCTCCCAAGGTCTAAGAGACATACTCCAAAGAAAGAAATTAAAGAACAAAACAGATCTGGGCTTTCCCTGGTGGTGCAACAGCTTAAAGTACCACGTTATGAAGCTCTCCAAAGCCACTGCAGCACGAGTTGGATCCTGGGTCCCGGAGGTGACCCACATGGCGTGGCAGACCTCTCCTGACCTGCCTGCGTCTCCCCTCAACAGTGTACTTCGTCGATCTGCCTGTTCTGCTCCCCGCTCTGTCTCTGGTAGAACATGTCCCCCACTACACCTCTGGCTTTTACCCCAGTTCTGTATGTTAAATAAAGATTTTTTTTAAAAAAGAACAAAACAGATCCACTCCCCACCTCCTGTTCCCTCCTTCTGTATCCATTCTATTATGAACCTCTTTCCAGCAGGCCCACTTCTGTGGTACCTAAAAAAAATTTCTGTCCAGCTACAAGCTGTGGCTCCCTACCTGTGGTTCCCTAGCAATGGATCTCCATCATCTCCGTCTCTTCGGGATCTCTTATACCTAAGCAAACTCTGTAGTCTCATCTCCCTATAGAAACGATGTTTCAACATCGACCTCAAACCATTTTTATTTTATGCAATGATCATGGAAGAACTGATGATGAAAACTAAAAGCAAGTGGTAAAATCTTGACCTCTAAACTTTATGGTAGGTCATCGATGAATACAGGGTGAAAGGCACCAAGACACTGGGTCCCAGAAAGGCTACCTCCTGGCTCCAACACAGTCTGCTACTTACATGATTGAACTGTACCTTTTATTGCCACTCCAGGCTTTTGTGTAAAAAGTCCTCCTCTTGCTTGCAGTTTTTGATTCCACAAACCCTTACCAGGATCCTTTCACATGCAGGCATAATTGTGAAGTAAAATAAGTAATCTAAAAGTGCTCTGCTTCATTCTAGAGAGATAGATAAGTACACTGATGTCTGAGCTTGAGACAGAGCAAGGTAATAGCCATAGAATGCTTCAGATGATAATAACAATAATAAGCATCTAGACTTTTCTGTGCATTTTATGCATGTTACAGTACTTCATATAGCCTCAAAAAACAACCAGGAAGTGGAGGGTTTTATCTTAATTTTGCAGAGAAGGAAACCAAGAGGCTTAGTGACATCTACAATAGTCAATCACCGGTAAAATCAACTCTAAAGTCTTTGACCTTAACCCTACAGATGTGAGACATCGAGGAGATGAGAAAAACAAGTCCAATGGCAGGGACTCAGTGTGGTTCTGTCTCGAGTGCATTGAAGAGAGAACTTCCTTCTGAAGCTCCCTTCCCTGTGGAGTTTCCAGTCTACATGACACAGGCTGCCCGTAAGAAAAAGGACAAGTAAAAAGAGTGTCTTAATCAGTGCATCAGGAGCGTCTTCGTGAAGAGAATCATTTTTTAAATCAATCTTGAGGACTGTTTAGGATTTTAAGAGATAAGTAAATAATAAATAAATTTGAGAGAAAACAAAGGTAGTGGAGAAGTAATGAAATTGGAAAAATGATACAGATACAGGGAACAGGTTAAAGGGATTTCAATGGTCATTTTCAAGTAAAAGTTAAACTCAGCTGTAAATCAGTTTGGGAAATGCATTGACCTGTGCTTTTTTTCAAGAGGCAATAATTGTGTAATCTTAACCAGAACTAACCTTACAGTAAGCCAGAGGAGGAATCAAAAGCTGGGATTCAGCTTTGAAAGAAACAGAGACTGGATCTGGTGGCAACAGAAAACAAGAGGGACTTGAACAAGGGAATTGTTGGGGGCAATTATTTTGTCATCAAAAAGGCTGACAGGTCTACAAGAGCTGAGGGAGGAGGGAATACACAGACACTGGACATAGGATAAGAAGGAAGAGATTATGGGATGCAGGGATAGAAGGGGAGAGTAACATGGCTAGAAAGGGAAGCTCCTCTCTGATACTTAGAGACAGAGCAGATTGAGAGGTAGCTAATAAGGTGATATTTTAAATAGGAGCAGAAGGAACATAGAGCAAAGTCACAGGGCTCATCAGGTGAGTCTCCACTGTATCCCTAGTTCCTAATGCAGTGCTTGGGAATTAATAAATAAACATGAGTCTGATGCATTAATCAGTTGTCACCAAAGACAAATGTAGATGTACCCTCACTGGCCTTAAAAAGAGCAGAAACGAGCGAGCTGGCATCTCTGCAGACACGGGCAAGTCACCAGGATATAAGTCACACTGAGAAATGGGGACATCTAGCCTAAGGAACCACCAGAATGCTCAAAAGAAGGGCTGCATCCCAGTGTCTGAAAACACAAAGCCTCAGAGAGACAGAAAAAGTATGAACTGATTCACCTTTCCCTCAGCATGTCTGGACATGTTTATCAGTATTAATTAATCAAAGGTGAAGGGGCTTTTCAGGGTCTTCAGCATAAAGCAGAGTCCAAGCTATCCTACAAACAGAAGAACAGAAGACCACTCTCAGAACTCTGAAAGGCAGCTGCTCCCACGTGCAGGGAGACTCACCATGGCTCAAGGGCCCCCTGGAACTGGGATGAAACAGCATTCCCCACCCCCGCATGCTGATGTGGTCTCTCTTCTCATGAAAACACCACAGTATTCCAGTCTCCCATTCCCGGAACCTCAGGCCAGGTGTGGCTCTGCCTGTAACTGTAACTAATGAATAAATCTCATTGATCTTGCAGCCGGGCCCTCCCCTGCCTCTGATTGCTGCACAGGAAAAAGTGGGCTGGACAGTCATTTCTACACAGTGTGCTCTTCACTCCACCTCCTCACGCATAGGTACAGATAAAACAGAGGTCCAAGAGTGTGACTCTCAAGGCTTAGTCAACAGCCCCCTCATTGCCTGTCTCCTCATCCTAGGCTTCTAGGCCAAGACATGGACAAGCTGCTGCTCTGGGTGTCTGTCCTCACCACTCTCCCTGGAGTCCTTGCTCAGACAGGTAAGGTGGTCAGGTATGGGCCAGGAGCCAGAGATGGAAAAGGTAGACTGTGGGATACCTTTTCGCTGAACTTATGTTGGTCATTATGTTGCTGTCTCTGTTCCACAGACCTCAGCGGGAAGGTGTTTGTGTTCCCTAAAGAATCTTCTAGTGACCATGTGAGCCTAATCGCAGAGCTGGACAAACCGCTACAGAACTTTACCCTGTGTCTTCGAGCCTTTAGTGACCTCTCCCGTGGCTACAGCCTTTTCTCCTACAATGTCCAGAAGAAGGATAATGAGCTACTACTTTTTAAAGAAAAAGATGGACACTATAATCTATACATTGGTAAAACCAAAGTCACTTTCAAAGTTGCAGAGGAGATCCCTGCCCCGGTGCACCTGTGTGTCAGCTGGGAGTCCTCCACTGGCATTGCTGAATTTTGGGTCAATTCAAAGCCTTTGGTAAAAAAGGGGTTGAACCAGGGTTACTCTCTGGGAACTCAGCCCAAGATCATCCTGGGCCAAGAGCAGGATTCCTATGGAGGAGGGTTTGATAAGAGCCAGTCCTTTGTGGGAGAAATAGGGGATGTGTATATGTGGGACTCTCTGCTGACCCCAGATGAGATCAAGACTTTGTATCACAACGGCTACCTTCGCCCCAACATCCTTAACTGGAAGGCTCTGAAATATGAGAGGAAAGGCTATGTCATCATCAAGCCCCGGGTGTGGAGCTGAGGTCCTCAATCAATAAGAACATTTGAAAATAAAAAGAGCAACAACTTAAGAAATCTGCTTGCGACAGATTGAGATATAGACACTAAAGCCTATGTCTCTCTCTTTCTTCTTTGAATTTCTTGTCCACATATATGCCTAATTAAAAAATACCATCTTATGCTACCTGCATTTGTTTAGTGCTTGACAGTTCCAAACATTTTCCCTTATATCTATTTATTTGGTAATTGGTGCTTCATTATCCACAATAAATAAATAAATGAGGTGACAAAGCATGGGGAGGGAAAGCTTTAAGTAACTAAAAAGATGCATCCCATAACGAGGACTCAGGAGTAGGGGCAGGGGCTACATTTAGAAGGTATTCATAATTCTTTCTTTTTTTTTTTAACCAATTCAAAATGTATGTAGGATAGCAATAGGAATGTATGTAGGATAGAAAGTTTTAAGTTTAATAGAAACTTGGGTTTATAGCCACAAATCAATCATGAAGAGGTCTGAGATTATGCCAAAGAGAAAACTAAAATGAAATAAGCAAACAATTGTTGAGAAACTGAGAACAAGTAATGAGACCGAGAAAAACTAGAAGAAGCAGGAATGAACACTAAAAATATATCAGTCTGGGATCATTTTGCATAAAGGCAAACATGACTCTTTACTTTTTTTTTTTTAAAGATTTATTTATTTGTGCATACAGAACTTGGGTACAGGCCAGAGGTGCAGGGGCAGTGAGAGGCTTCACCAGAGACAGAGTGGGGAGCAGAACAGGCAGACTGTAGGAGAACACTGCTGAGGGAAGCAGCAGGCGGGTCAGGAGAGGTCTGCCACGCCATGTAGGATCCCTCCAGGGCAGGCGGGGATCGAACTCAGGCGGAAGTGGCTTTATCTTCTTGGTGCTGTGCTTTAACCCACTGCGCCACCAGGGAGGGCCCCAAACATGACTCTTTTCAACAATCCCAGTGGCACTGTACATAGTTTGAATTTGATCATCTATCTTGACATAAGATGATTCACCTCTATGAAATACAGTATTCCTTAAAAAAAAAAACTAAAAATAGAAACACCATAAAATACAGCAATATTACTCCTCAGTATTTATCCAAAGAATATGAGGACACTAATTTGAAAACATATATGCACACTTATGTTCATAGCAGCCTTACTCACAGTAGCTAAGACATGAAAACAACATAAGTGTCTGTCTATAGATGACTGAGTAGAGAAGTTGTGGTATACATACTACCTGGAATATTACTCAGCTGTTAAAAAGATGAAATCTTGTCTTTGAGATAACAGAGATGGAACTTGAGGTGATTGTGCCAATGAAAATAGGTTAGAAAGTGAAAGAAATGATCAGATGATTTCTGTCATATGTGAACTATAAATAATCAAAACCACCAACCTAAAAAAAACCATAACAAAAAAAATACTGAGACTGAAAAACATGGTGGTAATGAAAAGGGGAGGAGTAGAGAAGTGAGGGGAAAAGGAATCGTGGGGAAAATGGCATGAGAATGTTGGTGGTAGGTGAAGTGAGACTTACACACATAAGGAGGTACAAAGCTATACTCCCAAAAATTATATTGTAAATCAATAAAATTACATTTTAAAATACTGAAAAATGATATAGGTGAATTAAAAAATAAATTCATTATTATTCTTAAAAAAGAATATCGCTCACATGAAGCCCTAGTTTGAAACACTTCTGTGTACCCTCACCTCATACAGAATATAATTCAAGCACTTTACTGTGGCATTGGCCTCCAAAACAAGATCCCACCAGATACATTTCTTTGCACAATAACTACCACTCTAATAAAATAATTGCCAGGTATTTATTAGTGGCCACTTTTTCCCAGTATTATGAAGACCATGGAGCATAGTACCTAGAACAACATGTGAGTAACCTTCTCCAAACACCAAGGACCCCAAAGGGAATTTCACTGCATCCAGGAAATAAGACAGATTTTGCCAACTAATAATTGTACCAGCATCCAGTAAATCAAAGAGATAGCATCCAGAAGTGATTGAAAGGCAATCAAACTCATGGGCCCACTCTCCAAGGTAGAAGGGAGGTCGACACCAGTAAAGGAAAATAGGGATGAATCTGGGAACTCCACAAGGATCAACAGGGTTGGTGTGGAAGAGCAGGTAGAATCTGAGGAGACTACTGAGGTATTAAGATAAAGCCGCAGGTGCTTCCTAAGAACTTTCAGTCTCATCTCTACTGTGGTAGAAACCATGCTGAACATGCTAGACAGAAGATTTAACGACATTGGAAGATGGTTTCCAATTGCCGGTTAATGACTTAAGACTTAAGCTTAATCGTCTCTTTAAGTGTGTGTATTGTTCAACACCAGCCTCTCTGGGACAGAACACACTCCTACCAGAGCACACAGACATTACCCTCCCTTGCCTTGTGCTCAGAAACACTCTGCTTTTGTTTAAGAGCCCCTCGACCAAGGACCCTAGAACAAGCTGAAGAAAGGAAGCCAATGTACCCACAAGTGACATCATCCCATCACTGAATTATTTACTGAGCCAGGGCTCTTTACCAGGCTCTGTGCCAGGTGCTGAAAACCCAAACTGAGTGAGATCATGATGATGGCTTCTTTGGAATTTATGTTCTAATATGCTTGTGTCATCTTAACATAGGTTCCTCCAACAATAATTAGCCTGTGCTATACTCCTAACTTACATCTAGGCTTTCACCTAGCTCGGGTTGCTATCATGCTCCTCCTCTCAACTCTACCAGAGTTAGAATTATTGTTTATTCTTGGTGATAATTTGCAGCTTTTCTGCAGCTCTTACAACCTAGTGTGTATCAAGTCTCATGGTTTGGGGACCTTCTGCTCCTTGGGATGGCTCTCTGGGGCAAAATCCAAGATGACCACACGTTAGCCCTTTCTTCTACATGACCAACCCCTCCTCCAAAAGAAACACTCATGCATCCCTTGTCCCCACAGATGCTAGGGATCCAGGGTGACCTTAATGCAGACATCTTCCTACTTCTTCAGTTTAGCTTTTTCATATCTTTGAATCTCCCAACACAAGGAGGGTATTACGAGCTTTCTTAGCAATTCCCTGGAAACACCCTCAACAGGCTTGAAGCAAAAAAAGCAGGAAAACAATACTCATCCTTTCAGGATGTCAGAACATGACCCATGACTTTCCCAAAACAACAACTGCAAAGTTTCTCCAAAGTTCTTTAGAGACGTTCATTCTTATCCCTACATTCTGTCTGCTCTACACAACTTGTCCTGGCCAAGGGTCACAACCATTCTTGAGTTGGTTCTTAATCATTTCCTTTGAGCATACTTCACACAAGTAAATCTGTGTCATGCTCTTTTTTATTATCTAATATCTATCATATCGTGACTGTTCCGGCTATAGAAAGAACAGTTCCATTTTAACATCATTAAAATAGAAATGGGATTTCTGGTGACTTGCTTTGGGCATTTTTCTGAGGGATAGTGGTTGTCACAACAAAGAGAGCAGCAAAAGTCATGGAGAAAACTACTTGGGTCCTTCAGCATCCAGAAGGAAATGAAAGGGCCTGGAAGGCATGATGACCCAGGAGCATGATTGGGTTGTGATTTACTACCAAAGATCTGGAAGACTGCCATTCCCCTGCACTTGTCCTGGGCTGGTAGAAGCTGGGGAACATGAATTGCATAATATTGCAAATGTGGTTAGACTTGGAGTCATCTCGAATAAGAAGGGCAATTTTTGAGCTTCTACCACATATGACGACCTGGCTCTTCTCTGTGTAGCTAGAGAAAAGTAGGTTGGAGCATCTAGCCAGAGGAAAATAGGAACTCTTTTATATATATTTATATATGCACACACACATACATATACACATACATATAAATAAAATTTATAAAATCTGTGCATATATTGCAGTGTGTGTGTAAAATGGAATTGCTCAGAAAAGTTTGTAGAGAAACCAACTTTTCCTTGGTGAGAGAGCCGCAGCTTTCTTTGTTTTAATAGGAAATTCAGTGGGGAGATCTGAGCTCAAAGCAATCCCTGTATTTGGGACATACCAGTTTAAATTTGAGTTGGAATTAGGGTGAAAAGATGTTTCCACTCATCTTTGCACAGGAACACTGTGTGGTCACATCTGGAGAGCAATAGGGCCTCGTAGATCTTTGTGGCACTTTCAGTACTTTAGAAAGAAAAAATACCCAAGTCTCTTTAGAGAACAAAAGTAGATCATGAACTGAGTCATCCTTAATCCTCCCCTGGACAGGACTAAAGAGGCAACTCACTTATAAACTAAACTTTACTTTAGAGAGGTGTTCCAGAATTTCTCATTTAGGTTTCTTCTGGCTGTGGTCATTCTCATGTGAGTCCAATATGGACAATGCCTCCAGCACCACCAACAGTGCCAGCAGCACACAAGACACATGATCATCACCTACAGACACAATTCCAGACCAAAACTAATATCACTCATAGATCGACTGATAACCATGGTCTCCAAGGGAAGACTCCAACCAGGTCTGAAGTGAAGGGGAAATATCAAACACATCACCCAGAGCTCCAGCGGTACAGTAGCATCTCTAGTATCCTGGTGGTGTTCTCAGGAGGGTTGAATGTGGGCACATGCATGAAGGACGCACTCAATACTTGTTCAGGCACAGTGTGACTGCTAGCTGTGGTGATAAAGACAGTAGAGTGAGAAGGGCCACCTGAAACTTCCAAACATCTCTCTTAGCCTCTTGATATGTTCTTACAAAAAAAAAAAATCCCACCTGACCTTGCCCATGTAGGTCTCCTGCTGGAGACAAAACATAAATTCTTCCTATGGACAATGAAGGGCACCAACATTGACTTTTACACAAATGCGTTTTCACCAATAATCAAGCAGAGAACACTAACAACATGAATTAAAAGAACAGGGAGTGCTGTGTGAGACTCAGCACACCATTATCTGAGCTCACTAAGTAGGTCCCTGCCTATAGGAGAGCAGAGCTTGAAAGTGTTCCTTGCATGATTCA